TTTTTTTTTGTTTTTATTTTTTTTTTTTTTTTTTTTTTTTTTTTTTAATATCAGTCTATGCTCTTACGTTAATCATAATCGTGTACGTGGTGGATTATTCCCTGCGACGAAGAATGTTGCCAGTCTTAACTCAAAAAGACTAAGAAAGTAATTTTTCAATTTTCCAAATATTTTTCCAAGCGCCAGATGCAATTTAGTACGTAAGCAAAACTATTGTAAAATTTTTGTTATTCCTGTGGGAATTCTAGACTAATTGTATCCTGTTTCTTTCAGCTCGGATGGGTATGCGATAAAACGTTTCTCTCATCGGCAGCACAATCCGCCTTTTTCGTCGGCAGTATTATAGGCGGTTTCATATTTGGTTATATCGCCGATCATTATGGCAGACTGCCTGCACTGGTCGCTTGCAATTCCGTCGGTTTCTTCGCTTCCGTGGGAACCGCCTTTTGCACGAGCTTCTGGACCTTTACTCTCAGCAGATTGATCGTCGGCACAGCCTTTGACAATTGCTTCAACATACTTTTCATCGTTGGTAAGTAGTACAGGTAGTAGTAGGCAAAAGATTTATAGCCGTTTATAGGTGTTTCAACTGTTGAAGATACTAAAAGGTTTGTTTTCCTTTCCTTTTAGTAATCGAATACGTCGGTCCTAAGTACAGAACACTCATGGCCAACATGTCTTTTGGGATATATTTTGCGTTTGCCGCAAGTATTCTTCCTTGGATTGCTTACTGGATCGCTAACTGGAGGATTTTGAGTGTCGTCACTGCAGTCCCATTAATAATTGCCTTCATAGCCCCCTGGATAGTCCCAGAGAGTGCACGGTAAATTTTAATAATTCTTATTCTTCTTTGTATCGTAATATAGGAATTTCCTAAAAGACTTATAAAAAATATATTTTCTTTATCGTCAGATGGTACATTGCCTGCGGAAAGATGGACAAGGCTATAGCAATGTTGAAGAAGTTCGAAAGAGTCAACAAGAAGAAGGTACCGCAAGAGATCTACGACGAGTTTCAAATAAGCTGCAACTTGGCTCTGGCGAATGACAAGTCAGCCGACAAGTACACGGTTCTTGATCTCTTCAAGAAACCGCGTCTGGCACGCATTACAATTATGCTAATTGTATACTGGTAAATATAAGAAGAAACAAAAATATATCAAGCTCTACGAGCCCTTAGAACCCAACCAACAGTCTTTGATTCATACGACAGGCTTCTAATCATTCTGGTCTTCGACGGTCACGTGTGGAACATGAAGCTCCTTGATCCAGATGTCTTCACTTCCTTCTCTCTTGCTGCACTCACGGAATTGCCAGCTGCAGTTTTACTTGCAATTTTCCTGGATCGCTGGGGTCGTCGCTGGATGGGATTCATGTCGATGCTAGGATGTGGGTTGTTTTCCTTCCTTGCTCTAGCTACTCCACAAGGTAACAATCAATTTGGTACTTTGCTAGCTGAAGATTTTTAGTGATTTTTTATGAAAATTATAGTTGACTCTTTTTCGTAGGTGGATCTAGGGTAGCCATGGCTATTTTAGCTCGTCTTGGTGTCAACATTGCTGCAAATATTGGCTTCCAGTATGCTGCTGAAATGTTGCCAACTGTAGTACGTGCACAGGGTGTCAATCTCATTCACATTATCGGTTACTTCGCTCATATTATTGGACCTTACGTTGTTTACCTGGTAAACCATATACCTATATGATTGAAAATTAATATTTGTCAATGGGGTAAACCAAATTTTTATTACAAATCTCATTATTTACAGGCTGACGTTTCCCCGGCTCTTCCACTTATTGTCCTGGGTCTTCTGTCATTATTCGTTGCAGGGCTGACTCTTTGTTTGCCAGAAACTCTAGACCAGGAGCTACCTCAGTCTTTGCAGGAAGGCAACGATTTTGGCAAGGAACAAAGTTTCTGGTGGATTCCTTGTATATCCTCGTAAGTAAAATCCTTTGAATTAGCAGATATAAGAGAAATTTGAGAGCCACGACGATCTAAGGAATTTTGGCTCGATCTGAAATTTCTTCTCTCTTCAGGACGCCCGAGAAGAAGAAGATATACAGAAAAAAGATTGGAGCGACCAATGCTGGTTTCAATCCTGGCAGTTTGCAGAGGATTGACTCAACCAAGTTATAACGTCGGATATAGGAGTAGATCGATTTTTAACGATTTATAGGTTACATCGATTCGTTTTATTGTTTTACATTAAGACAGTTAACCAAATTCTTGTAAATAGTTCATCATCGTGATGTGGTTGTAATATTATAACACGTAACCGCGAGTCATCTGAACACAGGTATTACGTTAGTTACGCAATGTGAACTAAGAATCTCGTATTGGTGATTAATTAGATTTTATCGCAACCCTGACCATCACGTGCGCGCTCATCTGATTAGACACGTGTCTGATAGACATCTGTGCATACGTAATTCGTCGATTCTTAGACCATTATCGAGAGAAGCTTGGTGAATATTCAACGGCAAGGACCAATTGTACATTTTTCACATTGAATATTCTCCGAATCAATTCTCCTTCCATCGATGTACTGTATTTTGACTTTTTATATATATATATTTTTGTCTTCTTTTTTTTCTGCTGCCTTACAATGAATTACTCAGCTACAACGTCAAATTCAAATTGGGACTCCACTAGAGACGCTCATATAGTCGTAGGATCATTCATGTACTTATGAGGCTAGCGTTCTGCTTTGATCGATTCTTGTTTATCAGGAAATGGTGAAATATAGAGAGAAATGAAATGATAATTAGGTAATAAAATTTAAAACTTTAAGGATACAGCGAGGGACAATTTTTTTCGTATGATATACATATGTATACGAAATTCAGTGTCTGTTAGGTAAAACATATTAGGAAGACTACTAGCCACAAGCCATTTTAGGAAATGATTTTTGCCAAGAGTTACTAGACTCTTATGTCTGTGCCAAAAGATACAGATAATTAAGTATTATATAAATATTAGTAGGTTATTCAGTTATATAAATAATTCGTGGTAATACGTACGTATACGAAGTTTCATGATCTGTAGTTTATTATAGATTAAATGTTCATATCCGAACAGTGTACAGAAGAATATTTTTTAGAACATTCATACGATAATATTCCAATCACGAGTCATTCGATATACAAAAAAATAATTTCATCATCATGTTCGAGTAAAATAAAACGTTAATGTTATTATTAATGCTGACTTTCATAATAATTTCTTTTTCACATTACACCTCTACCAATAAATATGATCGATTTAATTAAATTCGATTAATCCAATTCATTAGATTGAAAACATGGCAGACTCCAAAATTTTTGATCCTTTCCAAAATTTTCACCCTCCTCCAGAGTCTGTGGTAGATTCCTACCGACCGTTTCGGGTAACAGGAGTGAAATAATGGCAGCCACGAATGACGCAATTCCAATAATAAACAATGGCAAGGAAGTCCAATACATGCCCTAAAAACAAAATTGCACTTCTATTATTCAATTTCGAAGGGTTCTGGTCTCCAATGGAATCTCGACCACTCACGGTATCGACAATGTATGGTGCCATTCCGTGACCGATTATTCCACAAATGTGTATCAGCGCGACCCCTTGACCTCTGACAGTAGTAGGCAGTAATTCGGCAACAAATTGATGACCCACGTTGGCCGCCATATTTAAGCAAAATCGGCACAGTATCGACATGCTCAACTGAATAATGTCTAAAGAGAAAATTAAGGTAAGGTAAATGCCTGTGTTACCGACCGCGCAATCTCTAACCTTGTATGTACATTCGTAGGGATAAACAATGATGCTAGAGTGCGTCTAGTCCCGGCTCACCTAACGTCGCCTAGCCAGTGGCTCTTAATCACATAGTGGGGATAGTCTACTATGCTGACAATATCCCGTTAAGAATTCGGGGCACTCTCACTCTATATATTAATTACTAGTTTATTAATAATATAAGGAAAATCGTCTTACTTGATTCTGAGTAAAGTTCGACAAAAGTAAAAACTCCAGTAAGTGCCATTGTGATGAATCCACAGAATCTGCGGCCCCAACGGTCCAGTATTAACGTCAATAACAATCCTGCTGGCAGTTCCGTGGCGCAAGCCAACGAGAAAGACACGAAAACGGAACTTTGAAGTAACTTCAGAGAATAAACGTGTCCGTCGAACGTAAATATTCCCAGAAACCTAAGTACATTCGATATAAATTCTTATTAGCAATTTGAAAGTATCATTAGAAGTTTCTATGTCATTATATACGTAATTCTAGGTTAGTCACCAGAATATTATGAGAAGTATAGTGTTCTTGGCTAGACTGGGTGTCCTAAATAAATCCAATAGCGTAGCCGTCTCCTGACTTTTGTTAGATTCCCTTAAACTGATCTAGAAATATGAATATTTAATTAGAGAAAATTCAACTTGAATTGCATCAATAGTTAGACTTTCTTACGGCAATCCTTTCGTAGAAATTCAATGGTACATTTTTGCCATTGAATCTTGCAATGCGTTTGACTTTTCGAACAACCTTGTTGATTTTTCCATTAGCCATGTACCATCTTCAATAATATCCGTAAATGGGATAAATAATAATTATGATAAGAAATATCGATTATGTGTTAATTAATAAAAATAATTACCGAGCACTCTCGGGGAGAATCCACGGTGTTATAATGGCGTTGAGAAAAGGTATGGAGACGACAAGAGCAAATAATTTCCAATTAGCAATATAATATGCGATCCATGGTAAAAGGGTGCTTCCAAAGGCAAAATAAATGCCAAATGCAAGATTGAAAACCCATGTTCTTCTTTTAACAGCCACATACTCCATCACTGAAGGAGGAAAAAAAGAATTGTTTAAAGAATATATTACAAAAGAAAGCACTATAAAAATCACAAGTCCACTTACCTATGATCAGTGGAATGTTGACACAATTGTCAAAGGCCAAACCGGTGATAAACCTGCATAAGGAATACGACCAGAAACTTTTGGCAAAAGCTGTTGAGACGCTACCTAAAAAGGCAATCGCATTGCAGATCACCAACGCTGGAATTCGTCCGGAATGATCGGCCACCCATCCAAATAGAATTCCGCCTATGACGGATCCGCAAAAGAAGACAGCCTGAGTTGTTGATATCAGGTATTCTCGATCGCATACCCAATCTAGCTGATCGGCAATCAAATACAAATTTTAGAAATAACAATTGATCGACATAATTATTAATACTCTTTGTGACTTCACCTCAGTTGCTATAGACGAATATGGGATTTGAGTAAAATTATATTCCCATTCGGTGCATTCTATGACTTTTGATGCATTCAATTGTTCTAATGAAAAATTCTTTCTTGCCAATAATTCACTGTAATTCAAATCCCTCTTATAACAATGATCGTAGTAGGGATACTTATCATTTGACGGTATAGCGATTTTGATGCTGTAAACAATTTTGAGTATATTGCATAAATTTTATGTCAAGTTAGTCATTAATTTTTTTTTTATTTTTTTTTAAATACCGTTCTTCTCGCGTGAAGTTGGCGTCGATCAGCGCGTCCACTTTGCACCAGCGTTCCTCAGGTACGATGGTGATAAATATTTGAGAGAAATACAAAACCACGTATGATATGATATATGGAAACAAAGCAAACATCAGACACCATTGATATTTTCCAAAATCACCGATATCCGGTAAAATATCATCGAACGATACATTGCTTCGTTTTTCCTTTTGCTTTTCACGATCTGAATTCGTCAATCGCAAAATTTCTGGTCTCTTGACGACGTCCTCGATGAACTTGCAAATAAAAATAGAGATATAAGATTTTTTTTTAATCGCATTAAAATTAAATTGATATCAAGGTCAAGTACAAAAATACTTTAAACAAATATGAATCAATTCCCAATGTTTTAATTCATAATTAATGAGCCGAACGGAAATTTCAAGTGAATAAAAATTATTATATTTGAGATATTAAAAAAATTAAATAAGCTTCCATATGAATATCATCAAAACATAAATAATAAAAGATGAAACCCCCTTATCAGTAAAACGATGACTATTTAAATATCTTCAGCCACACTCTAACAAGGTTTAATAAAATACTATAATCGTCTGATCAAATATTCACAATGTAATAATCTATGCCATTTTAATTATTATACTTCTGAACTAGTATATTGCAAATTACTTACAGCTGACGTTTCCTCAGCCATTATGACTTTTTGTTACTGCACTGTATCACTGCCTAATTATACATCATACGTAAGTATAACGATATCAAAATTTAATCCACCAAAGAAAAAAGTTACAAAATTATAGAAATGAAGACAAAAAAGGTTTATCGAAGATTCAAATGATCCGTAATCAATGACGGTGAAACTACCTGTAAGACGTATGTAGCCACGATATCGTTTATATACGACTAAGCAGACTACTGAAAGGAAATACAAAGATGCTCGAAGATACACGTGTCGCTCAATAGCTGGGTGGGGATAATAATAAAAAATAAAAAAAAAGGCAAGGCGAGGCAACAAAGTGGGGGAAAAGCTAGCCTAATTGCTATGCTAGGATATTTATAATACTCAATGTGTCAGACGAATGCAAAGTGAATCGACCGTAAGGAACCCTGAAATACTTGTGTAACGGAATGCTTGAATAACGACAGAGAAGAGAACGTGAGCGTAACGTTTTTTGAAGATGTAAAGAAGAAAGAAAAAGAAAAAGCTTGTTTTTCATACATTCTACGTGCACTTTATACTTACTCATATACGCACGTTGATACGCTGTTAGCTTCCATCGTGGCGCAAACGATATTTTTAATTAAGTCAAATTGACTATGCGCGACTGATAGTTGAATAACTGACAGTATACATATATTTATGAACATAATTAGAATGGATAAATGCATCCTCGTAGGTGAATACATATATACACGTAAATTAAAATGCAATGTCGACGCATTACGTAGCTCAGAAACGTATTGATGTATACATAAAAATACATATAACGTACATTGGAGTAAAGCCAGAACTTTTGTTGCGGAAGAGTAAAAACGGGCTGGACGAACGAAAGGGATAAGGCCGATAAGAGGATCTAACGACGCAGAATATTATTAATGCTAATTTCGATCAAGGGATAATCTCAGGATTAATTCGAGTGTGTCTCGTTTTATCACGACTGTCGGGACGCTCGATTGATTTCGTTTTTATTACATCGTACTATACAAAAAGAGACTATATACAAAAAGTATAATCGCAACAACAAAATCAAATAATAGTAACGCGAATGCCTGGGAAGAAACGCGAGATTCATCTTTGCGGAACAGAAATTTCCTTTGGCCTTGGAGAAAAAAAAAATTCTTACTAATTTCGCCGGAGGCTTCCTTCTACGATCACTTATGTGTTTACAAGACGGACCTGGACTAATCGTACATCATAACGGTTCATGTACTCGACCGAGTCCAGTAATGGCGATCACAGTGAGCCTAATTCGAATCTTTCCTCAGGCAGTCTCTTATATGATACATTATACATATATGTATAAGCATGTAGATTTCTCACCATGTTATTCGTCTGATGCCTGATCGCTAGGTAGACTCCACTATGATTTACGTATAATATCCACATAAATATTTATATATAAATTAATTAAAATTTAGGTACTCTCAGCCATGATCATTTGCGTCCTGCGCCTAGTCTTCTTCTGACAGCCGAAGACAATTATCGGCGGGACGTAGTCGCTAATGGAATTCGAGTCCTGATATCGCACTTTGGATTAAACAATAATAAGATTGAGTAACAATGTTAATAATAGTCACAAGGGTGGGTAGGTTTGGCTGTATAAATAAACAGGGCCCGCTTAAATATAGAAATCATAATCACAGCCTCACCCCTTCTAAGGGATTGGAGAGACTCTTGCGCGACCTCACGCTAGACCTTTGGATCGCACTGCTTATCATAGTCTCGCCACGAAGAGAAGCTCTCATGGAGGCCCTCAAGCTTCCACGGGTGAAGGACCTGGTCATAGGCAGCGGCGGGGTCTCTTCGTCCACGTTGGCATTCCTGGGAAGAGTAACGTCCCATTAGAACACATGAATAGACGGGACAGATAATTCCGACGGCAATGCGGGCTTCGACAACAGCTCATTGAAATGAGGCTTGCTTCTAATCCATTGTCTGGATTGAAATGTTAATTCAAACTTACTTCATGAGACATGGCACGTCCCAGATACCCTGATCCTTGCCAAACTCTTCGCCATCCTGCAGAGTCTGTGGCAGATCCTGGCCCAGGGTTTCTGGTAGGAAGAGCGCCAGGCATCCTCCGATGATACCCAGAATTCCCAGAATTAGGAGAGGCAAGATTGGAGACACCACAGCTATGTAAACTACGAAGGGGGCTACTATGCTTGCTACGTAACCCATTATGTGGATCAGGGCGACACCCTGAGCACGAACTACGGTCGGGAGTAGTTCGGCAGCGTATTGTAATCCTATGTTGTAGGAGATGTTCACGCAGAAACGACCCATGATAGCCAAGGTTGCTGCGTAGACATCTGTAAGGTAAGGTAACGGTGGAAGATCAGTCGTCGTTCGTTGTTTGAATTGCTGGGTAAAAATATTTTCAAAAATTCTTCTTACGGTTTGATACTGCACAGGCCCAGATACTGAAGATACCTGAGAGAACCATGGAACCGCAAGCTAACCATCTTCTGCCCCATCTGTCTAGGACAGCTGTAAGGAAGGTATCTGCCGGAAGTTCAGTGGCGGAGGCTATTGTGAATGTTATGAAAACGTCCAGGCCTAGGTTATCGACGTTTCTGACGTGCCCGTCGAATACCAAGGATATGGCCATCCTGAAAAGACATGTATTAAATTGCAACTTGAGGTCCAATCATAGATTTTAAATCGTTCAACTGTCAGGTTCTCTCTTACCATATGACTATGAGGAGAACAGTGATATTTCGTAAACGTGGAGTTTTGAAAAGGTCCAAAACGGAATACGATTTGCCTGCTTCTTCTTCCTTTTGAGCTCTGGCGCAGGTATCCTGAAATTATATTATACAGAGTTTATAAGTAAGAATTTGCTGAACAAAGAGAATTCTCTTAAGCGTCACTCACTTTGAATTCCTTGTAGACGCTGTCAGGGACCTTGGTGCGATTTATGCGCTCGAATTTCTTCAGGATCTCGATAGCCCTGTCGACTTTACCTTGGCTAACGAGCCACCTGGCACTTTCAGGAACTAGCCAAGGTGTCGCAATAGCCAAGACTAAAGGAACCGAGGTGGCGATGCAGGTCATCCTCCAGTCAGCTAGGAAATAAGCTACCCAGGGCAGAACGCAGGAAGCGAAAGTGAAAAAAAGAGCAATGGACATATTCGCCACAAAGGTACGCCATTTTGGTCCCACGTACTCCAAGACTGTAAAACAAAAAAAAACAATCAATTCATTATTATCTAAAGTACTCATCAAGTACCACGTCCATGATTGAACGTATTATCTCTAATCTCAATTAAGATATATAGAATGAAATGTCATTATAAAACTGAGTTCAGGTTAAGCAGAGTGCAGTAATCAGTTGATCGGACAACTTATTCACCAGCCAACAAGTTCCAGCTGATCAGGCAATTCGCTGACCTGTTGATCGCGTTGCGCAAGAGCGAAGGTCGCAGTCAATACTCATGATCTTGGTGCATCAATACCTATCGACTAAACGGATCTATTCAGATCCTCGTGATCACGTATGACCACGACCACGACAATTGGACAGCAATTGCAGAGGAGTCACTCACCTAGAATGTACATCATGGTGAAGCAATTGTCAAAGGCAAGACCAACTAGAAATCGGCAAAGAGCAAATTGCCAGAAGCTTGTAGAAAACACAGTAGCAATTCCAGCCAAGAAGCCAGCCATGTTAGTGCCAACCAGCGCCGGAATTCTTCCATAACGATCAGCTATCCATCCGAAGATGAGTCCGCCAAAAATAGCGCCAACGAAGAAGACGCTCTGGGCCAAGGTTGGCAGAGCTGCGTTATCGCAGACCCATTCTAGCTAAAAATATATTGATGCAAAAATTATATTTTACTGCTTTATGAAATCTGAACGTAGTTCAGCTTGAAAAACATTTTTGAAATAACATTTTTGTTGGGACGATACGCGATATGGCAGCGCGTATCGCTGTAAGTATCGGGTAACGCTCATAAAGAGAATGGTTCTATGGCGCCTTGAACTTAAAGGATCCGTTTATGCAAGACCACTCGTTGTACCGTGCCTCTTCTGTTACGTATCTATGTAATCACATGTGATTTATCTTATCAAGTAAACGTCCGTGAACAATCCCGGACTCCCTCCCATGGGCCCTACCTTTCCCTCACTGTACTTGTCCTACTAGTAGACTTACGCATGTTAGGTTAGATGCATCGGCACGTATGTTTGCAACATTGTCATTCATCAACACGCAATTTCCACATGACTGTCAACGCTTGTAGCATAGACAGTACATACCTTTAGTGACTGCTTAAAATGGATATGACATGTCACGTATATCAGAACGACCAAATACGTCAACACTGAATGATATGAAAAATTCGGGTACCTTAATAAAGGTAACGAAGATGTGAAATTGTTATTTAATAATAAATAACATTACCTCAGTCGCTACGGTGGGATAAGGAATATCGGTGAAATTGAACTCCCACCCATATTGACAGTATTGTACAGGCCAGGAAGGATCAGCTATTGTTGTTCCATTTGCCAACAGTTCTGTATAATTGACAGCATACATCGAGCATTGTGAGTAGGTCAATGAACTTTCGCTCTCGGGTGACGGTGGCGGGATTGACAGTGCTATTCTGTAAAAGTAAAAAAGGAAAGATGTTAAAAAAAATCCTGACACAACAAAGAGTTTCTCGAGTGCGAAGTAGAATAGATTATTTTAATCGTTACGCTACCCGCTTCTCCTATTAAGGCACTTGAAGTATTTAAAAATGTGGAATGACTAATTCGTATGGAATTTCTTACGTTGTATGTATAGAGATCAGTTTGACACTCGATAATACTATATGCGAATAGTCTTGCGTGCTGAATTCTAATGTAGAATTAACGTACAAAAAGTTTCAAAGAGAACGGTCATTTTTACGGAACTGACAGCAGCATAATAGTATGTACAACGATAAAACCACGAGCATCAATAATTACAGGCTGTGCAAGCGACACGAGTTGTAGAAACGAATGACAAAGGGTAATGGACTGATGTATATTATCAAATATATTCTAGTAGCACAAATAATAATTATTTTTCGATTGCTAGTAAAACAGACATTCGAAAAATACGTCGATCGGAATTTGGACGAGTCTTTCCATGACCATGCAGATGGCGCTGCGGTAGTCCGTGAAAATCATGGCGGACATCGATCGATGTAAATTCCACGTGTCTACTGTCTACTTAATAACGATATAAATGACACACAATAACAGTTCTTTCTGTGCAATGCAACCTGACGCGATAATATCCAGTATAATGCAATGTTAAACTGGCTTTACATCAGTTGCGTAAATCAGTCAAGCTGTCCGTAAGCGATTCACTAGCCACTTGTCAAACGACGATCGGCTCGTATTAATTAAAAGCTTTTGCACTGATTTATCTCAAAATATTCCGACTGAAAGACAGTGTGTAGAATCGAAGTTTATATACCGATGTGTGTTGTTCAGCATGTGAAGTAACTGCAGCCTGACAGGTGCGCCACTTACAACGCAAGATCGTGTTGAAAGCAACGTGGGGCATTTTTCACGTTCACGCTCTCATTGCTGGTACGAAGGTTTTTCGCATGGACTCTTATATTATTCGTTATATGGTTTGACCTTGTGAACGATGATATAGTACGCGACTAATAATAATAGGACTTGGGTTATTTAATCACAGACTCTCTTCTATTATTCCGAAGTAAGAGCACATGCGAATCCCTATGAAAAATATAAAGGATCTAATAGAGGGATTGTTATGGCATTCCCAGACAATTGGCAGATCCATTATTGAGCGGTAGGAAATTTCCAGTGTGCAGACGTCGCAGTGAAAGATCAACAGATAAAGAATACAAGATTATTTGTTGTCACGTGTAATGATTGCGTTCTTAGTCCAATATTTCTATAGTTCTATTCAGCAGGCTTAACACCTATTTATATTTTCTCACGTCTTGCTACTAATTTTGATGTATGACACGTCGCTTTTTCTTTCCCTCTGTAAGCTCGTTTTATTTTAGTTTGCTCAAACCACGTTTAAATGGCCGTGTCAATATTAATCAATGGTCAATTGTTGGGTAGAAAAACATTAATTCCGCGTGACTCTTTACTGAGTAAAAATGTTTTTATAAATTATAGTACATTATAGGTTATGTATAGTGCCTTTAACTCTCCTGCTTACCAGCCATGCCCAATCGAGTCGTTATACGTGTACTAGTACCAGGTTAGTACACATAATACACATAATGTGTGATGAAACAAACGAAATGCAATTCAATCGCTAAGTGTGTGCGAAGGTCTCACTGAGTTTCTAGACTTTCTATGATCCTACGTTTAGCCGATTTAGATAGATTTTATGGAAAAATATCACCCTGGCATTCGCCATTAGGTTTCTTGCACGGTAGTGCATTGAGAATTATGCAAAAATCCTTGTAAGGCAAAGAGATATTAATATCTATTGATTTGTCGATTTAACTGGATTTGATAATGGCTCCATGTTGATTAATAATTTACGGTAATTCATCTATTAACAATCCACATATGAGAATCCTTACGTGAGTAATTAATAGATTCTTGAAGTTACTAAATTACGTGAAAAAGTATATATGCAGGTCCGTAATTGATTAGCTATGGTATGGTGTTACGTAAATTAATGATCCGTTTAATGCGCCAAGTGAGATCAAACCGCAAAAGTTTAAGAGTCGTGTTTTTTTTTTAGAAATTCTGATTATACAAAAAGGTTCGTTCCCGAAAGGTCTCGTATTTAAATTACATTAGCACTGGATACTTTATATTGAATTCTCATCACATCTTATTAGTTGGATTGGTTTGGATGAACAAACAATTTTCTTTAGGATATTCAAGGATATCCTTTATATATTGTTAAATTGAATTTTATCCTCTAAACGGTCCAGAGTGATTCTCTTGAGAGTAGAATGATCTTTGAACTGATGCTTGAATTTACATGAGTAAGAACCGTATGTATTGGTTAATTTTAAACGTGAATCATTATTATTTGCATATTTTGCGGCTGTGATATTTATTTAATGATCATATTAATAATTATATTTTGTGAAATTGAAAAAAATTTTTATTATAATATAATAAGTAAGAGTTTGATTGCACTGAGATGAATTTTTCTGAATTTTATTGAATCATAAGAGAATTGCTGCCGGACGGAAATGACCGTGACTCGAATGTTCACTAGCCATTTCACCAGTTCTACTCACTTGTCGTGACACTAGGCCTAATCTTATTTTCAATTTCGAAAAAAAATAAGAAATATTTCTATCGACTGGATATAAAAATGTAATCAGTAGCAAAAGATAATCGTGCACAAGGTGAATTAGGTTAAATCAATAAATTGATAAAGACTATTTGAAATTTGATAATCAGATTTTACTTAGTCTCTAACAATATAAAGATCAATACTGTGTTCAATATATTACAAATATTATGGATTACTTGGCACATTTAAAATCGGTATTAATTATTCTTTTTATAATTTTTTTTAATATTCCCAAATTTTTCAGTCACTCACCTCTGCTCCACTGTCAGGTTGGCCAATTCAGGTACTCGACACCAATGTTCTTCAGGAACAAGAGTGATAAATATCTGGGTGAAGTATACCCAGGCAACGAAGAATGCAAATGGTATCATAAGGATGAAAAGGATCTTCTGATAAAGTCCAAATTCTCCAATATAGGGTAACAACTCATCAAAATCCACATCCTTATTATCTCTACTGTCCCTGTTAACTGGACCGCAAACTGGCGTTGTGATCTGGGCGTTTTGACAAATAGTAGAAACCCTTGTGGTGCAGGAGCTGGTCGTTAAGGTGGGGCAGCCCTTGTTTTCGTCGGGTTGGCAGCCCGGGACTGGAGATTCGAATTTTTCTTGAGGCGGCATTTTCGTTAAACGACTCCAGGATTTTAACGTTAACAGTAAAACGTCAAATTAGCCTTGTCTAGTTAAACGAAATTTATCGATTTATCTCAACGCAAAGTCCAATTTCTATTTTAGCAAAAAAATTCTAATTCCGTGTGCTATCGCCAAAAAGAGAGAACAGAAACACGACTTTTTTCATAAAAAATTTCAACCCTTTAACCGGTCAAATCGTCGTTCCTCGTTCTTTCCGACTCCTCTCTCGTTCCTCGCGAATTTCGTTTTTTTTTTTTTTTTTTTTTTTAAATTTTTTCATAAAAAATTTCAACCCTTTAACCGGTCAAATCGTCGTTCCTCGTTCTTTCCGACTCCTCTCTCGTTCCTCGCGAATTTCGTTTTTTTTTTTTTTTTTTTTTTCAAATTTACACCAAATTCCGTCAGTCTACTTCTCTTGAATTTCTTTTGATTTTCTTTCAGCCCTTGGTGTGTCCACGGTCTTCGAAGTATCGCGAGGGTGGAGAAAAATACGCCAGGCTAACCCGTACCGTAAAAACCAAAAAAAAATACGGGTAATTCCCAGCTTTGGCAAGCAACACTGCATCGTTTCACCGTGTGGCTGACTATATAGGCATCGCCACCAGGAGTTACTCCCACTCTCCCTCAAGAACAGAATTCAGTCTTCTACGAGTCTACCGTACAGAGTCAATATACAGTCCTCATAGTATAACAGTGCCAGAGTGGCATTGAACGAAACTGGCAGCGGCTCCCCGCAAAAGAAATCGCCAGCAAGTACTTGAGTCTCAGGTCTACGCTCTTCTCCCTTTCTAATAAATCATTCGCAAATTCGCAATGAGCATACCTACAAGAGTAAGTATTTTTCTAACAGCCAGTACAAAAGATTCTATAAATAGACACTGTTCCCTCATAGTCAACAATATCGTGATAAAAAATTCACTTTGTGCCCACTTATCAATGACTCTTTATTATCTCTCAATGATCCATAATAAGTCTCTCGATATTAAAAATATAAGAAATCAATTGATTGCTCTCACTCAATTTATTGATTATTCGATATTACAATGATCGATATCGTATAAGTCATTATACATTTTTTTTACAGTGATTAAAAAGTGGTATCATCTCAGGATTGAAGTGTCTAGAGGTCCCAATCACTTTCCATGCAGCATCAACTATACCTAAGACGCAGATACCAATTTGCACAATACGCTAAGCAGCTTTCGTTCTTCGTACAGCACGTGAAAGGATCTTGTTAAGACTATCTATAACAACAAGAAAAATAAAAGCGGAAGTTCTCACTCGAAGATTCAAGGATGGACGGGTGACTCGTTTGTATCCTCGAATACGAAGCTCGATCACGGCAAATCCCTTCCGCAAAAGTTTTATTCTTCGGTTAATCATTGCCATCGTTATTGCGCACGCGATCTAGATTCCGATGCGTTAATCATTTCGATCCTGAATTATTAAATCTCTCAACCCACACGGTAAACTTGCACAGTTCTTAGATTAGTGCGAGAGCGAGCAAGGTCCTTAGATCATTCGTAAAATAACTTTCACGGTAAATAATTTTCATGATGACTTTCAAAAGCATTATTATTATATTACAACGAACCAATAGCTCGTATCCTTGCTGGTGTCATTAAACGGCTTAAATACTTCCGAGTGACTGTCATTAAAGTCTGGATTGAGTTAAGTTTTCAAACCGCGTTTACATAACCTCACTTTCTGCAGGATCGTAAAGACTCTTATTCAAGTGGGAATATCAAAGGGCGTTCAAAGCGTCAGGTCTAAATCCAGTGTTTAATTGATCCGATAGAGTCGGATCTGACTATCATTACTATTGCCAGGATAATCAGGACCATTGAAGTTCAGCAGCTTTCCAATCGGCATGATCGACTGTATCGTATGTTACGTGAACTTTGAACTTGTTAAATACGTCGTTATAGCGCTGCTACGTAATTCCTATTAATAGACCGCCATTATAAAGGCGGGATTATACATATAAAACTGAAAACTGTATCAGACGAATCTCGCGTTTTGCTTGTCATACAGAATCGAGTTAATTGTAAAGATAAAAAAGCGTCTGACAAATTTATACAGTACTACGTCTAAGAATAAGATAGGAAAAAGGGCGAGGGCAAAGAGAGGAAGGTGAAAATATATATGTATTCTAGCAAAGTCACATTACTTTCTCGATTAATTAATTAATTAATTATAATTAATATATATACATGATTGTTAATATATCGGCAAATGGGTCAATGATTTTTACGCCGTCAGCAGCCAAGCGTGTGCAAGATTTTTCTGTCTGTCCAACGGAGTCTTTGCTGGTCTGTGGATCGATCGATCTGAAGTTTATCGATAGAGAGTATCGATTGGTTAACTCACACAATGATCGTGATCGATTCTCATAACGATTGTCGCTAACTGATCGTTAGCACGTAGTTAGGTGCGTATAAGAAATTCTACACGGACGATCCTTGCCAGCATCCAGCTAAGGTCGCAAGGTGTGCCCGAAGGTTTTGCAGAATCAGTATCGCACTTAACGATTGCAAGCATACCGGTGCAATTGCACGATTTTTCAAATATGGTCGTCTTTCATATCATTAAGTAGACTATATGTACAGTCAAGTTTACAGTATGCGATACAGTGCAGCGTGCTGCGAGTGATCCGCAACGTGTAACATGTGATGCGATGTGTCACGTCAAGATCTGATCTTGCTTAGCTCAGATGCACTGAAAGTCATGCCAAAAGTATTAGCGTCATTGCCATTAGAGTTGAAATCCAATGAAAACGAAATTTCTAAAAACGGGGTAAACTCGTACTTTTACAATGTCTCTACTCTTGTCATGGGACAAGTGCAAAACGTTGTCACGCGATATTTGTACTTCGAATGGATGAAGTGGAAAAGAAAATAGAAAAAAAAAAGTAAACACGCTCCAATTGACAATATCATAAAGTGGCGCTCGGTACAGTCAAGGAAATATATACGTGACTAGAAAATGTGACAAGTTAGCTAATGGTGATACGATAAAAAATTAATAACAATAAGAAAAGCCTTAAAATCTTTCCTGCTCTTGTTGCGTAACGCACTCTGACCGTAGCCATGAATTATTTAACTCTCGACCCTCGTCCCTTAACAATTGCATTGTTATTTGTTACCGTTGTTCAGTAGAGCAGCGTATTGTTATTTTATTCTGAACCACCCATATCCTGTTTATTTTTTAGAATTATTTTTTTAATTTTCTACTTTTTCGCATTTCTAATCCATTTTGTAAAAATATCTTTATCCTTTTTCTTAGATCCATATCCTTAACTACGTTAAATATGATAAACCGGAATGGACGTAATCAAGGAGGAGTCAATTGATAAGGCGAAGCTTGAAGGTAAGTCGCAGAAAACCAGACGTTACGAACAATCTCGTTACTCTTTGTGGCTCATTGCGTCTCCGTACGTTTCATCATTTAAGCTTTATTGCTCGTGAAAAGAATTTCGTTTAGTACCGTGTTTGTACATATACAAGTTTATTGCGAACTTTATTGTACCTTGGCAAAACTTAAGAAGCAGTGTAATTAAAGTAGCGTCTCCTTATAATATTTCTAACATAATACAATTTTAAGCAGGGGGAACTGGCTTAGGCAAAAAGTCGCGTAAGAAATAAGACACGCATCGATACGCATCGTGTTTTTTTAGACTTCTTGGACGCCATATTGCAATTGACTGTCGAGGTATCTGGGGCACGTTCACACCAAAATATTTTGTCTACGAACCTTCGGCTGAAAATGGGTCAGCGGTATCGAGAATGAGATAATGAAAGGTAAAACAAAAGTAAAAAAATTCGAAAAAAAAAACGAGACAACCGACTAGACTCAACGTTTTCATGCGCGTTCATGCATTTCCGTGAATTTTTGCTGTGTCAGTATTACGGGACTCCTCACTTTTTAAAGAAATCATTCAGACCGATTGAACTCGATGTTTATATTTTTATACGATTTCGTTGTTTTTTTTTTTAAATTGACAAAAAGTATACTGTTCAAATTTATGAGCCACGTAATACTTGTGACTGGAATAATTTCGCGTCTACGCGCCAAGTAGGAAGAGATCATGAAGAAAAAGTGACAAAAAAATTGGTGAATGACGTCATCGATAAACATTGAGCCTCGTGGAGTTTGAAAAAATGTGTGCAAAAAATTCTATGTGTGTTTTATGTAGGAACTAATATCACGCGCACAGACATATAGATATACTAAATAAACGAATGGAGAAGTATTGTTTTGAAGAAGTGACAGTTCATTGGACTAGAATAAAAAGAAGATAATCACCACGAAGGATAAATGATTGAATGCACATCGAGTACGTGAGAATAGACGGAGAACAATCATGTACAAGATACATTCTACATATAGATTAATTTTCAGCATCTAATTGATACGCTTGTTAATTAATTTAATTTCCTTCGAAGGATAGACCCGGTTAGCTAGTACAGATGAAGTAAGAAACAAAATAGAAAAAAAAGTGAAAAAAATTCCCAGCACCCATTGTCCACAACGGTCTGCATATTTTACGAGCGGTGATTCACAAAATTGCCGTCGTTCGTTTCTTGTGATATTTATGAGCAGATGGAAAAAATGGCTTTCTCAAGACCTTCAAGCCAAATAGACCTAATTACCTGATTCTTCGCTAGACGCAGAAGGCACTTGAGGGTAATAAGAATTCTATATATGTCCGATAAATAAAATTTTAATAAACCAAGTCTCGAGTCACATGCTGACGAATTGATACGTTGGTTATAAATTTGCCAAAGAAAAATATAATCGTAATCCGTAGAAATTAAGGATCAATTAATTAGCACTCATCAAATTTTTATTTAAGCGTTCAATGATCCAACGATCCAGCAATTCAGCATAACATATAACGCTCATTGCCCGCGGTATCCGATCCGTGACAATATGGAGGGCATTCCACCAGTTGAAATGACTTAAACGGCGCTAGCGCGAGGTCAGGCCAAATCGGCGTGTCTAATTTCAAAGGAGAAAAATCCCGGGAATAATAATTGGATGAGAATATATATTGCACGTATGCTGACTCACAATCAGATAGGATTGAAGGAATGGTCAATCTGGTGACGCTGATTGGCTAATCGGCTGGGTCAGCTGGACGCTCATTGGTTGGCACGTGCCAATACGAAAACGCGACCGATCCTACCGAACAAACTTTTCACATATCCTATTATTCATATTATTTGGATTTAAGAGGAAATTTATAAATGAGGTACGAAGAATTGTAAAATATGGGAAAGTTTAAATTCTCCAGTCTGTACTTAATTCGTAAATTATATTTACCTGTGCAACCTGGTTGGAGAGGTTATGTGCAGCATAGAAGAATTATCGTGGCTGCGCGAAGGTGGGATGATTTCCTATTGTAATTGGTGTTCATTGTGGGGATTATTGTTATTATAAATGGTAAGATCGTGAATTTCGCTAGGGTTTCCTTTAACGATTTTGTATGGCGGTCATGAAATGTTCATTTTGTATATTGTGTCTATGGCCAGTGTGTAGCAATTCATATATTACGACATCGATCGAAATAACCGATTATGACGGTTCGAGCTCTTGATCGAATGTGGCCAATCGGATTATTGAGATTGGTAATTTTTTTTCTCAGGCTTTACTGTTCCCTACTTTATCTATCCTTCGTGACCTATTACATGGAACGTGTTCGGTGTGTGTAATATGGTATCAAGATTGTGTTTATCTTCAAAACAGAGATAACAAAAATAAAAGGCTATTTTATCAAAAAATATCTATAGCGTCAATAAATGTCAGGTTATCAATTTTCATTAATGAAAATCCAATGGAGGAACGATTTAGCATTATTTTTATTTTTTTTGTATAAGTACAGCTACTCTTGTACACAAGACCCAATTTCTATTGGTTACGCAACAAGAAGATGCATTGGGAATAAAAATAATATGGATAGATAAAATATTTTGATAAAGGATCAAAATTTATTTAGCATCGTTCAACAGTTTGAAATTTCTGAAATACGAAGGTCAAGGGGCTCGTCCGTCCACATCTAACCTGCCCGGAAGTGCGTGATACCGGAAACAAGCGAAGGACACAAAAAGCAAAAAAATTGAGCAAGCCACTTGCTTCGCGATACTAAGAAATCACCAACCGCCGATAACGTCCCAAATAATCGTTGAAAATATTTTCTTAATAAAATTTGAAAATATCAAATAATAGCCGACCTTCTCGACGTAACCGCAGATCAACTTTTCCCAAGAAATCAAAATGATCGCAAAGTCCTTGATATCATAAATTAACTCCCGTCATTTGATCAGTCGAGCATAAATTAGGCCATCGCACCGCGCATGTTATGAACGCCGAATGCTGAACGTTTGAACGCTGCATGAACATTCACTGAATGACCGAATGAACCTCCGACACTTTGTTACGAATCCGTTATGTATTATGCACGCTGCTATTATGAAAACCAGGAAGTTAACAGCTAGTCGTGGTGCAAATAAAAAATGTGAGGTTATGCTCGCGAATACGGAGGCTCGATATCAATCTAATATTTGTCTCTGTTTATGTTTCAGCAGGACGATATAACAACGTGGGAGTCTACGAAAGAAAAGATACGTGACTAATTAGTGGATTGCTTAGCATCCGGGATTTAATCAAATCCGATTAAACTTTGCGGAAGGCATTCGAATAAAGTCTGCGCAGACTGAACGGTACACATCTTCAAGGCGAACTGCTTCGCCAGTCTTAGGTACTTGATAGATTTAATAGATTATTTCCTTTCGTTTTATCTTTATCTTAAACACCTCTTTCTGCTCGTTATGCTCGTTATGCTATTATTAATAAACATGTAAATTAAACATTTTTATTTATGACATATGTGTCGAACCAGAGATGATAAAATGTCGTTCATTTTTCGTATGCTCGAATTTTGAGATATTAGTACTCAATCAACAGTCTCTGCGACGTTGAGTATAATTAATCTGATTATTATTATTAACTTTAATTATATACCGTTTTTATTTAAAAGCATTTTCTTACACGTAGTGTACAGCGTAAGCTGGTACGTTTTTGTTTGGGAAATTTTTTGATAACCATCAAATGTGTCATGTGTTGCAAAGTTCCAACAGCACGGGGCTTATACTGGGTGTTAGAAAGTTTTATCAATTGAGAACGCCAATTAGAGTTGACTAAAGACGTAAATAGACTGAGGATCTTATGAGATACAGTCACGACCCTAGATGTTTTAGCAGAATCGTCACGTAATCTAATACAGGAGCATATTTATACTATTTGTATTCAACCAAGCCATTAGTACTCTTGTCGTTATAATACCAACTGTAACTAACAAATCTCTTATCATAGGAGTCATTATAGGATTGCAAGTTCCTTTATGCCTAAGGGATGCAAGTTGCGTCGAGTGACAATTAATTGATTGGAAATCGTACCGTGGTTGGTATCATGTGGGCTGGGAGTCGTAGCGAGTTGGACCAAATTGTATGTATGTACATACATACAGGGTACTTAGTAATAAAATAGTAAAATAATACATTTATAGGGACAAGTTTACAAGACTGTCTGTAACTATCGGGAAGTTAGCGTTAAAAAGCAAAACTTTATAAATTAAACAAAAAAAGGCCAACATTTTTTTACAATAATTCCAAATAATTGAACTTTTGAGCTATCCTAACCTTACCAAGCCACATATAAACCTGTTACAACGTTACATTATAATACTCCCTTGCTAATATTTAATGTCTCAGCCGTCAGAGGGGAAAAAGTTCCTCCACAATAGCTTGGCTGTCAATTTGTGTACTCTCGTGGTTGGTTGCGTTTGTTGAGTCTGTAGGTCGCGCAAGAGAAATATATAATTTTGACTCTTTCTAAACTCCGCCTCCCACGGACATGATGGGGGCTTGGCTAACATTAAATTTCCAAGTATGTGTATCTTAGATCGGAATTACTTTAACAATATTTTGTTTTCAAATTAATAAATCTTTATTCTTTGGCGCTAAATTCGCAATGGTAGAATTATTCCTGTAGAATTATTGTAGTGTAAAGTTGGAGTGCTTCCGGCATAGATCTCTGTACAATGAGTTATCGACTGCGGAAAACGTTGTGATCTTTATTTTGCAAACCCAGTCGATAAGTAAATTAATTAATTAGTAGAGGGCGTTTTGGACCGTACATTGTAGTTATAAGAGATATACGCCTCAGAGATGAGTAGGGAGATGCACAACGATACGGTTTTAGGCGATACCAAAGACATATCGCTAAATCGGAGCGGCGAGTACGGGAGCAGGATTTCGTGATCATCGCCTTCGTCGATAATGCATATCTCGTCGTAGCCGAGCTGAACGTGATCACGAACGGGTAGCCAGGCGGACAGAGATTCTCCACAACTTACAACTGATTCCCAGAGTAACCCTTAGAAAGAGGCCGCTTATCAGATATTGCCTAAATCTTTTTTTTTGTAATCTTAAATTCAAATGTACAGTGTAAGCTCGATAAGATTTACTAAGAGAAAAGCCAGCACCTTATGCCTGCCTGTGTTAAGGAGTGCAGCGATGCGGTGCTAGCTTCCATCATTATTTAACAATAGTTCCAAGCGGAACTATGGTCCCAACATTGAGTACTAGAGAGAATTATTCCGGAACTGTTTGAAACACAACCTGAAAACAACACTGAAAGCCAGCTCCTTATGCATACCTGCACTGAAGCATATGGTGCGACTAGTATCCTTAATAGGTATTTTAACGATGTTACGTAGCAGAACTGTTGTTAAAACCTATCTGGAACTATAGAACTCCTCGAGAGCTATTGAAAAAGCCTATTGTTGAATCAT